TCCCCCTAGAAACTTATTGAATAAGCCATTTTATATATCATTAAGTTGGTATCATACAGTCATGTATAGCAGATCGAATAAGTTGTGAGTCTCATTAAACTCATTAAACTGCTAACAAACTGACACTAAAATTGTTATTTAGTTAATAAAAAAGTAATAGTTACATATTTCTAAAATTGTGAGCCTTTTTTATTGTGTACATATTGATGTCAAATTTCAAAAGGTTATTACTATCGAACTTGTGTTACATTATATGATATCCCATTTTTACCATCACTAGTCATGTATGGATAAAGTTCTCTGTGTGGATTAATTTGTCTTATAGATTGAAAAAGTTTTTGGTACGGAGGTTTTTTCATAGATGAAAAAAGCATGTTTTTAATTTTTTTTTTGGGGGTAGGTCTAGAAAAAATTTGGCTTTCTACATAAAGCTCCCTCAAGAAGCTTACTGACTAAGTTGCTATCTATATCATTAAGTCACTACCAAACAGTCATATATAGCTGACGGAATAAGCTACGAGTTCCATTAAGTCACTCATTGTACCATTTTCCTTATGCAAAAATCTTCACAGGTTAACAACAGGGCCAGATTTCAGTTGCTTCAATGAAGACAGGCTTTCATGGATATTGCTGACTTGTGGTACTCTTCTTGAAAGCAGATTTTGATTTAGTTATTTTCAAACATTTTTAGAATTATATCTACATTGATGTCAAATGGTTCCCTCAGCCATGGCATTTTGTCTTTGCAAAGACAACTTATGAAGGTGGTCTTATTGGGGTCCCATTTACTTGAATCAAGGATAATTAGAACGGCCACGGGGCAAACCTCCGGTGACTATGAGGGGCTGACCAGAGTTGAGGTACCTAACATCTAACGGCAATGGGTGCATGTGCCGTTTGACATCTTTTTCAAACCACAAATGAAATCGTATGTATGGCTCAAATCGTAAAATATGCACTGTATTTTGCAGTCAAAACCACAAACTAAACTATGTATCAAAGCTGCATGTCTCAAACTGTAAAATACCGCACCTCAAAATATGTGACGTGTGGAAAGTGGAAAGCGACAATAGAGAGTTTCGTAATCCATCCGAAACAAAGTGGTAATGCACATAAATAATTAAGTCCGAATATGTAGCAAAATTTAATCAAACTTTTAAAACGAACGTTAAAACAAAAGAAGGGTATGCATCGTTCTCTAGAGCGCTCCACTCCAAAACGAACAACGGACCTCCATCTTTCATCAACTTTGCGAGCCTCGACAATCTTTTTCTTATCGACAATCGAGTATTGACTAACGTGTAAGTAATTATTGTTTAGTTAATACAAATGTAATATAAAATTATATATGATTATACATACAAATAATTTAATAGAAGATAAGTCCAGGTTTGACCCCAAGCCTTCTTGGTAGCCTCAACCACTGAGTGAGTCAATAAATGTTTTCTCACATTGGTGTCTTTGGAAGCGTGTTTTGTGTGGGGCCAATTGGGGTTGGCGATAATCATATTTTTTGCTTAAATAAAAAGTTAATAAATAAAAGTAGATATGTGGTGCGTTGGTGGTGGTTTCATAATTAAGGAGCTGTTTACCAAGTGCTTACTGAGTTATGGTACGACCTTACCTTTTATTTTGTTGTTTAGCTATGGATAACGATCATTTAACTGTCAGGTTCAAATTTGTCTGGTTGCTATTGATTTTGTTAAAAGCCGTTACATCGATTGGTTGGAATGTTTGAAATTTGGCTAAATCATGTGAAGAGTATCTTGTATGAAATACATAAACTAGTTGGGTTAGAATTTCTTCGTGCCTCGGAAGTCCAATTTATAAAAGCATATTGCAGGTAAGTTGTTCGATAAAACTACTCAACGGGTGCATAAAAGAAGCATTTTCCATGAATTTATAACGTCTTTTTGTGGTTAATTTCTCAAATTCGACAATGGCGCTTGTTACTCTCGAAAGGTGACATCTTTTCGAGGTTTTTTTTCATAATAAGACAATATGGCCAAACACAAAGACTTCTGGTTCTTTAGTTCGATTGAATTGTAGTGAGCCCAATCCATCTTAGTTGCGTAAAAACAGATAATTACAAAGTTTATAAGAGCCTATATTTTGATTTTTGCCAGATGAGTAGCGGTTGAAAAGCTATTTCAGATGGCTTATTAGATTTATTTCACTTTTTTCCCTTACATGTTCCTTTTAAAATTATTTTACATTGTTATCTAACTTATCAAACTAGTTTTTATCAAATATGACTAGTTTACCAAGTGACTTATCATTTAACAATGACCTTATTAGTTATCATCTACCTTTTCAGACAACAGTTAGCATATCAGTTAATTTACCAAGTATAGCCTAAATAGAAACTCCTTTTCATGTGTCGGAGACTACAAAATTCCATAAATATCTGCTCTCTTCGATTATCCGTTAAATGTTAAATCCGAAGGGAGTCTTTGATTTCAGTGTCTCCAAACTGAACAAATACATTTATTGGAGTTGAGATTAAGACATCCGAACGTTTTCTAATGTGGGGTTTTGTTCACGTAGGCGACCACGTGTGACGTCTCACGTTTTGGATTTGATGCTTGCTTGTCTAACCCTTGAACTATAGTTCAATCACCAAATAACACCGACTCCAACAGGGCCAACTCAATTGGCAAATAAACGCTAGGCGCCTTCAGGTTGCTCTTCATAGGTAGTCAATTCCAATCTCCTCAGAACCACTACGATTTTCAGGGCTCCATAGGATCAGTCAAAGTGCAACACAAGCTGGCCCAAACACCCACATTTACAGAAGAAAAAAACATGTATAAAAGCTTTCTTGCGGGAATTCATCATTACTTTCATCTTGATGTTTCACCATTAAAGTTAAGCACTTTGATACCTCTTGACTCTAATCTAGTTTCTTTTGCTTATTTGGAACACAAAAACTCCGTTCTTGGAGCCATGGTGGTTCAAACGAGAACTGTAAATATCTTAAGAATCTGAGAACCAACTATTCATGATGAATATCGTTTTAGATATCCATATTATTCATTATGAATAACACAAGAAATAGTTGGTCACCACTCCACGTTCTCAAAATACTTACAGTTTTGATTTAAATTTTCCTCCATAGCCTAAAACATTATCTACTGAATCCAAAAGCAGACAGATCAAGATTCAGAGCACGAAAAGCATATGTATGAACGATTTATATTCGGTTCTCCAGTTTATGTTTCGATTATGTCATGATAAACAAACATGGGATCTGTTACAAGATGGACAAACAGAAAAAACTCGGCAAGACGAAAAGCAGAAAGGAGATACCACAATTCCTATATTTAGCAGAAATATATATATATTATATATATATATAGCGTACAAGATTGGTCAATGAGCTGAAATACAAAACCCTAAAAGATGATAATGAACATAAATACATACATACATGCATACATATACATATATATAATATATACGTATATGCATGTAAGTATATAGACTATATCACTAACAGTTACTATACAGAATAAGCGGAAATACGGCACAACAGAGACCTAAAAGAAGGATAGAAGCTTTATCTTTCGGATTTCAAATCTGAAATTGCTGCCCCAAGTTTGTCCACCGTTAGATGAAGTCGGATTGGAAAACGGAGAGCCGAGATTATCCCACACGGCGGCTACCCTCTCGCATTCACGACACAGATCACCTGTTTGCAATTCAAGAAATCATGAAAACAAATGGCTTTTCATACATAATTTAACTTTACTCAAACCAGTCAACCATAAAGATGGTTGCTTTTTCAATATTTCACATTTAACAAAGAGACTCTAAATCCTCCCTTACGTTTCTCAACCATAAAGCTAGCTTATTTTTTAAGCTTATTGAAAAAGACTCGTTTGGTAAGCCATAAACTAGCTTAAAAGCTAGTTTATTGAAAAACTGCTTAATAGCTTTTCAACAAGTTCCAGGGGGATCTTTTCACTTTTTACCAATTATGCCCCTTGTATTAGAATTGAAACATGTCCTTTTATGTCATTTTACATTTTCATCTAACCTATCAGCTAGTTTTTACCAAATGTAACTAGTTTATCAACTAGCTTTTAAGCTAGTTTTTTTTTTTTATCGATGTGACTAGTTTATCAGCTAGCTTTTCAGCCAACAACCAGTTTTACAGCTAGCTTTTACCAACGTGACAAGTTTATCAGCTAGCTTTTCAGCCAACAACTAACTTACTGGCTAGTTTTTATCAATGTGGCTAGTTTATCAGCTAGCTTATCAACCAACAACTAGATCTTCAGCTAACAACTAGCATATCATTTAGTTTTGCCAAACATATCCTTACCCGGTTTGGGAAAGCCGCCTCCAGTTGATTAATTGGTGTGATTGCGGATGCCTTTGCAAATAAGAACTATCTTCACCGACAAAATTCTCTGTGAAACTAGAAGATGAAGGTGACCACACCGGCACGACACCCCCGTCTCTTTCCCTCGAACTTGAACCAGAACTGTTAGAGGATTCAACCGCCAAATCATCGCCATTTCTCAACGCTCGTGTGATATCCATCTGTGGCTGCATATCATCCGTTCTTGCCGTTTGAGCATTATCTACACCCTGATTAGTTGGAACCTCAGCCCTGCTATCTTCCGCTAGATTTGCAAGATCCGAAGACGATTCTTCTCCGCCTCCCCTTAACAACGATGTTGTCATACTAGGAACCATTTGATCTTCGTAATGGCGGATCGTGGTGGTCGTAGGATTGGTCCTGAGGGTATTTTCGTCCATTTCCATCTCCATATCTTGAGGGAAAGCTATTGGAGCATCGTCAGATGAGTCTCCACGCCCTTCTTCTATTCCATTTTCGAGAATGGCTCTAGAAGCCGCTTCGTGCTGCCACATTTGCGCAAGCGCTTCTTGTAATCGTGCTTTTGCCGCATCCATTTTGACGATTGGGAGAGGGTAGTTGGAACCGAGCTCGATACCAGCAGCTTGAAGTACGTATTCTGGTGCATCCCATGGGTGGTGGATCCATTCGGTTGGTAGTCTAGCAAGCTCAGGAAGCCACCTCCTAACGTATTCTCCATTTGGGTCGAATTTATAGCCTTCAAACTGCCAAAAAAAACCCAAAGATAGACAAAAGTCGAACATTAGCCCGTTTAATAACATGGGGCAACCGTAGAATATCTTGAGAGCCCGGGAACCAACTATTTCATGAATTATTTATAACGAATAACCCTTACATACTAATGAATATTATTCATCATACATTTTCAGTATTCACAAGATTCATGATTAGAGATTCACAAGGCCCAACCTTTTTCAGGCCCGACCCTTCCAAGCCCGTTTCAGTAAACCAAATAAAAAGCCTGCGCTATTTCATGATATGCACAAAACCGAAGCTTTTTCAGGCCCGGGCATCCCAAGCCCGTTTCAGTAAACCAAATAAATAGGCGGCCTTTAGGGTTGAAAGAGGTTAAGATAGGGCTTTCTTAGGTTGGCCTTTAACTGGGTCTTGAAAAAAAAAGTTGACCTGATCGGGCTTTAAGGCTGGTCCTGGGCCTAGGCTCAGGCTTCCAAGGCCCTGGCTTCGGGTTTGGCTTTTTTGTGCATCTATATTCATGATGAATACTTGGTTGAGTTGGTTCACATGTTCTCAAAATATTGACGGTTCTCATTATATAGGTTTTGATAAGGACTACAAACAGAAAGGCGAATCAAGATTTATCGATAAGTTATCATCATACCTGAGGATTATCGATACGATCAAACTCACGGCCATCAGGCAAAGTACCCGAGATATATTGCCAGCCTAAAGCATCACTCTCAAGATCGGCATCCAACAGCGTATCCCAGAAATATTTCATGCCCCATCTCCATGGTAACTGTAAAACCTTCACAAAGAAACTCGATACCACGACTCTTATCCTATCGTGCAGCCACCCAGTGGCCCACAATTCTCTCATGCCGGCATCGACCAACGGATAGCCTGTTCGACCTTGTCTCCAAGCCTTAAAATAACCCTCGTCTACTATCCATGGGAAGAACTTCAAATGCCCCAAAAGAGGCCTTTCATGACTATACGGATGGTTAAAACTCATGTACCTTGAATATTCCCGAAGACCAATGGATTTTAGGAACAGATTTACGCTCTCTTCACCAGCTGTGTTTCCTTCGTTGGCCCAGAGGACTTGTTTGATTCGTACCAAATGGAAGACTTTTCGTACGCTAACTTCTCCAAAATGAAGGTGTGGAGATAGGAAGGAGGTTGTTGCGCTATCGGCTTTTCTACGGTTCTTGGCGTATTCTAGTAATGGCCCGCTAATGAATGCCGCTAGTGCCTTGTCGGCATTGCTCCAACCAGGTGACCATGCCCGAGCAAGAAGGGCGTTGCTTCCTTTCTCCGATTCGTCCTCAAAAACCAGTGTTTCTGAACGGCATTTTGATAAGTCGCCTGAAAAAAAAAGCAAGCATGGTGAGTACAAAAAAAGGAAACCAAACAAACCAATATTTCCCACCTTACATATGTCTCAAAAGACACAGAGGAACCAAACCAAACAAACTTAGGGCTTGTTTGTTAGCAGCTTAATGAGCTTAACGGGACTCACAGCTTAATCAGTCAACTATATATGACTGTTTGGTAGTGGCTTAATGATACCAAAAGTGGCTTATTCAGTAAGCTTTTAGGGGGAGCTTTATGCGGAAAGTCAAGTTCTATTTTTTTTTTCCAAACCTGCCTTTCTTAATTAAAAAAGACACACTCCTTCTATCCATAAAAACCCCTACCAAACAAAAATCTTCCCAATCTATACAGACAGATTCCACACAAACGGCTTATCTATACAGAACATAATGGAAAACCAACCAAACAGCCCCTTAGTATATCCCACCTGAAGGTAGGATTTGGGGATAGGATGCAGACTTGACGTCTATCTCAAGAGACAGAGAGGATATTTCAGAAATATTGAAACTTGATAAGATTCATAAGCAAAATGACCTGAGATTATCTTCTTCGGTGGGAGTTGTGGAGACTCAGGATCATATGGCATGCTAAGACACCGGTCCCAAAATTCTGTAAATGTATTGAACGGGCGGCCTTCATCATCAAGAACTTCCCATGGTTCGTATAGCAAATCTGCATTGAAGGAACGCACTGCTATGCCATTACTGGTTAAAACCTCCTTCATTCGGTGATCCCTAACGAGAGACAAAGGATCTAAAACACATGAAATAGATTTACGTCAAATTCAACCCGAATGTAAAACATCTAAACTACACAAAAAGACAATGAATAGTATAAAAGGATCATGTCTTATTGAAAAAGAAGGGATATGCTTGAAGTCCATGAATGTTTTTATCTAAAATGACAAAAGGGTCATACTAATTGTTGGAGCCCACATCATGTCGACACGGATCATCAAAATATATATATGTGTGTGTAGTGTCAGGTTCAGGGGAAAACCACAAAAAAATGGAAAAATGAGGAACATCCTAGGAACAGTTTATCCGGACGGTATGCACATGTGCATACAAGTAATTCATAAGCAATTTGTCCATAACATGCACACATGCATAAAAACCATGAAATAGCTTCAATTATTTGTATGCACTAGTGCACACCTTCCAGATAAATGGTTACCAGAGTGTTCCTCAGTTTTTCATTTTTTTGGGGAGTTTTCCCTAAACCTTCCATATATATATATATATATATAGCAAACTCCAGTCTCTTTGTAAGGCTCCTTTAGAGGGAGATTCAAAGGAGTTACACCTATCATATCATGGTATCAAAGCTGGGTGCTACCACATCTAGGGACTCCATTTGAGGGGACGTCTTGGAGTCCCACATCTACTAGACATGAACCATCAAACTTGTATACATATATTCATATATATATATATATATATATATATATATAGAAACCTCCGTATAAAGGTTCTTTCAAAGAGAGATTAAAAGGATTTCCACATATCCCAACAGTAATAGTGCATGCATTCCGGAAAGAATGTCATACAAATTTTGGTTTAGAACATTACGCAGATCAATACACTGTTACTGAAATCAGGATGCTATTGAGTTCTAGTGGACCAGCAAATGGGGAATAAGGATTTAAGCCGTGACTTCGGCTCTAAGCTATTATTGCTTTCGGGCTGGATGTCATCCAAGCTACACAATTGACGCTTTGACGGTAGTCAGTCATTCGTGGCTACTCTTCAATTTCAACAGGATGCAGAACAATGACAACCTCAAATCAGTTGATTCCAATTATGGTAAAGGAACATATGAACTAGAAGATCTCCAATTCGATGGCTTGGATTAGGACTTGAACCAAAATTGATCCAATTTTCAACCAAAAGATCACCAATTGACTAAGTACATGCTACCAAAGACTACATAGAATTTCTTAAAATCATAAGAATAATGTATCCAAGATCTCAAATTTCTTACTTCTCTGAGAAAAAGATGGTACCCCAGATAAGTGCAGATGCAATTGTATCATAATTCTCACCACAAAACCATAAATAAAAATTAAAAGAAACAAGAAAAGAAAGGAGCGCTAACCATATAAGTGATTGAAAAAAAGCTGAGTAGCACCAGTTGATTTGATAACCTCAAGAAGTGAAGAAACACTATCAGTAGATCTCTTGGTTACAAGAGAAGTTCCAAGGTTTTTCAAAGATGAATCCAACAAAGCTAGACTCTGTTTTAACCACCATCTTGACACCCTTCCAGGGTAATAATGACCTTCTTCTTCTGGTGCCCAAATATAAACTGCAATCACTTGACCTGCTCTCACACCAGCAGCCAAAGCAGGGTTATCTTCCACCCTCAGATCTCTCCTAAACCACACTATACTACACCCTCCTGCCATCTCTAAAGACCCCAAATCTTAGACTCTTGAAAACCCTGATTTCTGATGATCTTTTTCCTCAAAACCTTGAATTCTGATGATCTTTTCTTGAAAAAAACTGAATCTTGAGTAGGGTTCCAACAAGCTAAGCTATGGAGTTTCTAGGATTTCTCTCTAGCCTACACATCTTTCTTAAAGAATAACAGTGTTCACTAATCAAACTTATCTTTCTTTTTTATTCCTTATCTCTGACTTGATCTTCACTCATGTGATCAAGAATCATTGTAGGCCATGAACATAAATAGGAAGCATCTTTTCCCTAATTTAATGGTGTTTCCCAGAATTTAATAACTAAAAACCTAATCAGAATCTTGGTTCTTTGGGGTTTTCAATTGAAATTAGAAGCACCCAAAGACACCAAAGAAAGGGAGATGAAGGGGATGGGTTAGTTTCCAATGAGGTTAGCAGAAGAAAGCTGATAGCCAATTTGCAGCCACAGGTTTGTGTTCTCTCTCCCTTCTTTCTTGGAATTTTGCATTTTTGTTAGAGATAACTACAGAAATACTCCCTACACTTTTCATAAATCTTGAGGTTTCACTTTCTACAAATTCTTTTCCCTTTTTGGTCCCCAAATTCAAGAATTTCGGCCTAATTGCATATCGGTAACATTCACTGAACATCTTTTTTTTTCACGTTTAGTTTCGTATTATGAAACTAAACTGTCGAAATATCAGACAAGTTAAACTTGATGCTGACATCATTTCATTACAACATAATTAACCTGTTAAGATTTGACGGTATTTGACTATACTGTAAATAGCCCAATAAACATAAACAATATTCTAGAGTAAAGCAGTTAAAATTGTTCGGTAATTCCTATATGAATCATATTAATGCCTTAAGCTACTAGTATAATAAATGCCTTTATGTTTATTGGATCAATATGCCCTTTAATATAAATTTGGATATGTTAAAAATAATATTCTTTTAACTCGAATGATTAAATTGGTACGAACCTCTTTATTCAAACGTTGAAAGTAAATCTTTTTATGAAAGACGAAACCTACATGTCGATCGATAGTCGAAGGGTGATTCTGTAAATTCACTTCTTTTATCATATTTTTTTTGACTTTTGCTCTTCCTTATCTTTGGTACAAAATAACAAAAATGTGCCCACCATGGTCTAGTGCATTCTCTATATCCTCTCTCTTTCTATGCCAGAGTGGAAAATTCCAATATGATCAATTATTATCCTCTTTGCTAGACAGGGTGTACAGTTTATGTACCAAATCCAAAGGGTAAAATGGTAAAAGCTGTCTTCAGATATATATATATTAAATTTATTTTGGAAGACTTTGTATCATAATATGATAATAAGAGATATGATTTGCAGTATAGATGTTATCTGTTAATATTATTTTGATTGATGAAAAGTTTGTCTGATTATTAACTTAGAGTCTTATAAAATTAACCAAGTACAGATAAATTGGTTTTGATGCTTACATTTTACCAAATAATAGTTTTTAAGTCTATTTTTGTTTAATGATTTATCATATAAATACAGTATTTGAAAGCATCATTAAACAGTAAGTTTGTTGATAAATTTTAATGGACATAACCGAGTAAATAACAATGAAAATTCCATCAGAGTTAATTAATGTTGATCGTAGTTCCGTAGGCAAGTTAGACATGATTGAGCCAATAGAACTGATTTTTTGAGGGCCATGTAATGCATGTGACGGTACCAAGAAAGCTAAAAAAACAAGCGACTGTTTCACCGTTCGAACATATGACTCTTACATTTTTTTAAAACAAATTTTTTTTTCTAAAAATGAAGTAAAATGACCAAAACACCCTTCTTTTCATTTTCATATTCAAGAATATAAACAAAAAACTATCAGAATTCAACTTCAATTATCTATCATATAAAAACAATGAATTCAACAAATTAAACCCCGTCTCTGTTTTGAAGAAAAACTCCACGTAAAGTCACATGAATAATTACAAGTAAAACGTAAATTCAGCTACGCAAGTAATACGTAACATTCTCAATTATTAACAGTTTTTTTAGAATCTATTTCCTCTTTAAACCAATCTCTACAAAATTTCATCGACAAAAAAACTGACATAATTTAAATTAAAAGCAAGGGATCTTCATACCGGATACAAGATAGGAAAAAGAGAAAGAGATCAAATTCTCTTTATCTCCAGATCGAAAGCGACAAATATTGCAACCATTTAGAAATGAGAAGAAGCTTATTTCTAAGATATGGTTCGATGCACAAATATTATACGAATATATTAACACCGCGAGAGAAAATATGATTCTCAAAATCTGAAAGCTTGACGAGATTTTACTAACTATCGGAAACCATACATATCGTAAGTATCCAAACAAGGTACAACTTTCATGCTTGAAACAAATAGTTCTTCATTGTGAATACCATTTTTTTTTATTTCAGTTCAATTTGGTATCTGTGTAACAATTTACGTTTTAGGATTTACAATACTCTATTTTCCATTAATTATGTAAGATCCAAACGCTCAAACATTATATCCAGACTCCAAATGCCTGAATCGTTGTGATACTCCAAATTGCAAACTGTAATCGAATCAAAAGATAAGACCAGATTTAAAATAAACGTGTAGTTTTAAATTACACAAGCAGTTTGAAGTGTTTCTGTATGTAAAATACAGTTGATTTTCATAATTAACATATAAAATAATCCTAATTAACTGAGATTATTACGAAGTTGTTGAAATCGAATTTGATGATTTATTTTGGTTTTGTTTCTTAAAAATGAAGATAACTTTTTCTTAAAGTTTGTATACATATTTTATTATAAATTAATATAGAAACTTTGCACATGTATAAATTTTTTATTTTGTCCCTTTTAAAAAAGTTGATATCAGAAAATGTCCAAGAGCGGGGCCGGACCGAGGGGTCCCGTGTATTCATTCAGCCGATTTTTACTGGTAGTAATTTTTTAAGGTGTGAAAGATTCGCTAAATTTTAAGAGTGCTCTGAGGTATTTGAAAGAACAAAGAATACACTACTCCCAAATTCTAAGTGTCTTAATAGACCTTTTTATAGGACTTAGTTTGTAGAACTAAAAAAATAAAGTGTTCTATCGAAAGGTGTTGTAATAAGTTATATGACATTTTTTGATGTCGTGATAAGTTTTTTAGGACAATTTTAATATAAAGCGTCTCATTATCAATTTTATAGAAAATTATTTGAAAAATTGTCCTATAAAAACAAATGTCCTATAAAAAATTGAGTTTATAGGACAATTTCTCAAAAGTGTCATATAAAGTTGCTAATGTGACATCTTGTATTAAAAAAAACTCCTCAGAAACTTGTTATGACGCCCGAAAACGTCATATAAACTTATTACAATACTTTTAGACATGACACTTTATATTTTGGTCCTATAAATTAAGTCCTAAAAAACGGTCTATTGGGACACTTAGAGATTGTGGACGTCCTATAAACCCAATTTTGGTGTAGTAATATCAACTAATGAAGCGAAAAAGTCTCGAAATCAACCCAAAAAACCGAAAAAGTCCGTCAAAATCAACGAAAAAACCTATTAAATCTCTTTACATCAACCAAAAAAACTCTAAAAGAAACCTTTAGAACGATGATATTCGACTAAATACACCACAAGAAATAGGGGTTTTAGAGACGACAAAAGTCAATCTCGGGTCAGAAACAGTTTATACAGACGATATATTGTTACAATAGCTTGTTGTTGAAACATGTCTTGTCTAAAGGCGTGTCGTTGAAACTCACTTCTCTAGTAGTGATACATATCGGACGACTTTACAGACTTTTGATCCATCTTAAAGATGTATTCACTCCCTCAACAACAAACTTGGGCCCGCACAAAAAAATATTAATTTATTTATATAGCATGTGATTAATGTGAGTCAAGTAGGTGTTGATGTTCTGCTTTTACTTGACTTATTGTAATTTATGCGGTTATTTCTTATACATAAAAATCGTTATAAATAAATTTATGGGTGAATTTCTTTTTGTTAACATTGTATTTAGTGAAATAAAACGATGATTTTTACGTCCATATTCTCATCCATTCACTTTCGGTAGGCTTTACATTAAAAACATAATAAGTAATTAATAATAATCATAAATATAATTTAATCTTTCATATTCATGACTATTTATTTCAATAGTCATTAATCCAAATATACGTAAAGGACGATTAGAAATAGAAGGTTACGTACGTTAGACGTTGAATACTAAATCCACGACCATCTGGTTTAAGCAACTAGCAAAATATGAGGCGTGGATATTTGTTAGTATTTACTTTGGACAAACCTAAAATGCGTAGATAATTAAAATCAGTAGAATATGTTTATCGTACAGGTAGAGATAAGATTATTATTATTTCAGTTAGATATGTGCTTTCGTTTTCTTACACGTCATGAGATTCGAATTGGCGTTCAATTATTTAAATTAGATATATGTATCTTTGTTTGAACATGGGTTTTGTATTTTATATGTAAAAAAATGTGTGTAGAAATTAATTAACCGTCGACAAGAATCCCAATGCTAAATAATATTTGAAGACACAGTAATTTGTAGTTTTAACAGGAAATCATTGGCTCTAAAAAGATGAGAGGTTTGTTTAGAAGATAAGGTCGTGAATCAGAAACTATAAATAAGTTAGGATCAAGTCGTAACTTAATAGATATATTCTTTTGTTGATATATTCATTATCTTATGACTTTTTGAAGAAAAATCAATGGTCAGACGAATGTGGCTGTACGTCAAACCACAAAACACATTGCATGTATCCTATGCTCGTCTATTCGTCTATTTATGTTGGCTGTAATTATATTGATGATGTCATAATGTTGCAAGTAACGTCATGATCTTTTGTTGCAATCATAAAATAGAATGAATATAAGTGGTGTCATAGCTAGTCACTGCATGTCGTTGGTGAGTTCTTCACATGCCAGATTGATGGCAACAATTTTGCATATCGGAAGGCTTGGATGAGAGCATCTTTGAAGTCCCTAGATGCAAAATGTTACCCAAAATTAACTTGGACTTTAGGACAGGTGCTGTTGCAATAGGATACTCAAGAACTTAAGTATAGTCTCTAGTGAAGTAGGCGTAAGCCAGTTAAGGCTTATACCCAGAAGCACAACAACCAAATAAGCCGTACATCTTAAAATTTTGTTAATGAAGAAACTGTTGTAGTTACACTCTCGAAAATTCAAATGCTCACCACTTGGTTTGTGAATCTCATATGGTTGTGAATAACCGCTACAACAAAACGTGGTTTTTATGATGCTTTCATATAACGTTCAAGAAGTATGTTGTACAAAAGTTAATAAGACGTTCGCCTTTCTGAGGCATATTATAACATAAATTTTAGGAATCCTTTTCATAAGAATAAAACTTGTTTGGTTGTCTAAA